AGAGATCAGCAGTTCACAGCCTCCACGTGACAGAGACTACAGCCCGGGGAACCCTATGGGGCAGCTCTAGGGTCACCAGGTTTGGTCTTTGGTGGGTTTCGGTGACAGCTGGCCATTCATTCTGATCACATCACCAGGTTTCAGAGCATGATAGAAAGTGAGGGCACCGTCGCTCATCCTGTTGTTACCAAAGCTTCTTCGAACATTTCATATGAAAGGCATTCATAATGCTTTCTGAATGAGTTGGAAGCACTAGGCTCACCTGACCTGGCTTCCCTTCCCCAACAACAATTGCTCTCAGTATTTCAAAGGCAGTCAATCCAACTCGGAGAAACTCAAAGGCGGGGCTGTCACCAGCCAAGGAAGGGGAAGCCTGGGTCATGCCAAGCCTGGGCCATTGCTCCAGCAGCTCCTGGGAGCGCCCGGATCCCCACTGAGAGGGAACTGGAGCTCGGGGCTGGGGACTGGGCAGAGTAGCCCTCACAAGGGCCAGCAAAAGCTCCGGTCTGTGCTCTGTGTCACCCACTCATGGCAACCCCAGGTGTGCAGAGTCCAGGGGGTTGTGTGGCTGTCATCTTTATGAAAGCAGACTGGCAGGTCTTCCTTCAGTGATGCTACGAGGCAGGTTTGAACTGCCAACCTTTGGGTGTATAGTCAAAGGCCAACCACTTATGCCACCCAGGAACCTGCTGAGAGCCCCAGAGCCAGGGGCAGTTCAGATTATTAGGAAGTCTAATCTGTGTTTTTCTCTTTTATTCGCCTTCTTAAGACTTGGCCACATGGGCCACTTGTGATGTCCCCTGAAGTTTCATTTCAAATTCACTAAAAACCCAAACACATTGGATGAAAAGACACTAGGCCGATGAACACTCTCGCTTGACTAAATGGCTTCCAATTATTATTCACACACAGAATAATCTTGCCATCTTTTCAATTTCCAGGGGGGAAAAAAGACCTGATATCATTATTTTCCCTTGTGTTCTCCATCCTTCAGAGATTTCCTAGAGCATCAACTTCATGAAGCCCCCGGAGTCCTCTCTCGTGCAGAGGACGTCCTTTTCAACCTGGGCGTCACTGACCATCTCCCGTGAGGCCGGCACCTGGCATTACGTTCCCGTTACTCACCTCTGTGCCTTTTGCTGCTGTTTCAAAGGCAGACAGGGCACACATGCTGAGCACCCCCGCCTCTCCTGCCTCACCTGAGAGGGCGGGGAGGCGGGGGGAGGCATTCCCCAGAGGCATTTGCTTACCAGCATGTCGGTGGCGCTGAGGTAGTGCTTGCC